CGTCCGCGGAGGCCGGCAGTTACGTTTACCCGTCAGGCGCGCTGACTCACCCACTTCTCACTCACTGTTTTTTCGGATCTTGCATTGTGACGTCACGGTAGATCGTAGATAACGGTGTTTAAGGGACCCGAGAACTCCATCTGCGGTGTTTCCGTCGGGTTATTTTTCTTATTCGCGAGTCTCGGCACATGCAATGAGGTCATGGCTCAACGTTTCAATCGTGTCTGCGAATTAACTTTACCTGCGCCTCTACTGTTATCAACCTCGAAGGTTAATTTCTCGGGACTTGTGTCAGCGCATTGTCGCATTGGCAAGGGAAACCTGCATTGGCGCAGCAACGAAACTGTCATTGTGTTTTCGATGCCAGGTGTTCTTTAATTTTTCCTTTAAAAAAAAAAATAAGGTCTGAACAGAAGATCCAATTGACAGATTGGGCATGGCTGCTGCAACGCGGTTGTAAGCCGTGAGATTAGGACAAGCTGCTTTTTCTCGAAAGTATCTTTAGAGCAGAAGCTCATATCCTTGGGGAAATGCCGGAAGCCTAATCATCTTCTGTATTGTTTTAGTATTAATTGTTTATTTATTACAACATTGAGGCCACTCAGAATATTCTCGACTGACATCTGGCATCAAACCCTCGCATATAGGGTAGTCTTGCCTCCAAATAGCGGATCTGAGGAAATTCCGCGAGTGAAAAATTGTTAGCGTATCCCTCGGGGTCTGGGGTCTCCGTGTCTCGGATAAACTAACGTGAACTCCTCCGGTAGTTCACTTAATCCGTAACCTCCGATGCTCTAGCCCATTTTTGTTATCGATCTTTTTCGTTTCATCTCGTTGTTGTCTAGCTTCAGTTTCGTCAGTCTCGGCGTCATCATCGTTAGTCTCGTTACTGGTAAGTTGTTCAACCTGGCCATCTTTCGATAATCTTTGCAGACTTAGATTGTTTATATCCATATTAAACAGATATTTCATTTGTTGAAGGACAATCACTGATCCCGACCGCGGAATGCAAAGATCGCCGGCTGAGCGTCTGGTAAATTGGCCTCCCATCGTATCCAAGATTGAGCTGCCAATTCAGCACAATTATCTGAACTGGTGGATGTTCAAGAAAGACAATTCAGCTTTTGGCTTCTGGCAAGACACTATTAACAGAAGAGTCGCTCCAAGAGTTGGAGCTCACTGTCACAATGCAATCGTGAAGAGCCTAGCAGGTTCGATTATGCTCATGGGGGTCGTTGAGGCTTGTTACTCACGCCCCAAGCAGTATTATATGACGTAGGATAAGCGGCGTTAATTTTCAACCATTTCCCATTAACATGCGCCTGTGATATACTAAAACCAGATCTCCTATAATATAGACAAGGCTATGCAGTAAGAAGAATACGATAAGGCTTTTTTTTAAACATAACATCAGGTCTGATGTGACAAAGCTTATATCAACCTCCCATCAGAGTTCTCAATATATCCCAAAGCTGCCGCCTTTTTTATTTATACTTAGTAAACAAGCCACCAAAGCGGGTCTTTTCTTTTAGACGATGCCTTTGGTCCTCATGACTAAGTGACCCGTCCTTTATAGACTCTATTAAGATATGAGATCTAGGAAATATTCCATACTCTCTCTTGGCATTTGAACCACTCCAGAACCACGCATGTGGATCCTCCCCTGTAGATGATGTAAGTGTCAATCTAGGTCAAGTGCTAATGATAGAGAACCCACAAGCAAGGTTATAGACAATGTCGCCTTTCTTGAGTGCCAGCCAGCCAGGCTGCCTTTGCTTCTCGAATTTCCACCTGGCTACTCCAGTTCGTGGCGTGTTCGGTAAGGAAGCGATCTTCACATGCCGTGGCATATCCAAACTGATTAATTTACTTGGAAATGTTCCAAATACTCCGTCGTGCCAGCCTTGGCACCACTTCCCGTCCCACTTCTCCGGGAACTCGATGCCAATTATCTTCGCTCCTGAAAAGAACTGTAGAATCTCCGAGGTTGCATCAGGCCTTGCTTGTGGCTTCTCATTGCTTCGCCTAATGTGGTCTTTCACGGTCCGGGCAACCGGCAATGATGCGATTCGGTTTGATTCGTTGGCTCGGGACACGCCACGCAGAGCAGTCATGGTAGAATTCGGGAGATATAAATCGCAGTCTTGGCGCCCTCGTGAATTTATATCGCTGTGCTCGTAGATTACTTCCACGCCCGGAACATGCGGCAAGGGATGACCATGCCGAGAAATGTGCCGAAAGAGGAGATCAATTGACTGAAAGACGGTAGCGTCGTCTTCCTGGAGAGTAGACTTCGTCTTGTCACAAAAGAGACAACCAAAGTACACCGAGTTGACGTTTCGGACTGCAATATGAGATTTAAAGAGGAAGCGAGGACGGTGAAGAATACCTCTCGTCTGCTGGCTGGCCAATGCTAAAATTACCTTTGAGCTTTGCTTCTCACAGCGATTGTGGTTGACTGAATGACTTACGATCTTGATCCATGTCCTGGCGCAAATGGGAGTAGGGAGTCTTGTACTCACAATGAAGACACTGCGCAGTTGGCTCAGTGAAAGTCTCAGTTGGATTATCCAGCATTTGCCCAAACAATGTTTCTTGAGAATACTCTCTGGGTCTTATTGCACTGTCTGAACCGCCGCCAACCCTTTTGATGGCCTGTCCGGGACCTCCAGAGGCAAAAGCTCGAGCTCCTTTACATAGTCCACCCAGTAGGGCTAGAGAGCTGTCTGGTCCGATCTCATGGGTCTGTAGAGAGTGTATGCTTTTCACAGAGGCAGAATCTTTCCTGATTGAGCTAGAAGATGTTGATACTGCTTTAGAACCTGACGCGCCGCTTCCGTCTGATCGTACGGATGGCGCTGACACTTGGGTGACAATGAACAATTGTTGATGTTCAGGCGACGCTGCAGATGGTGTGTAGGACCCAGAATTACGGTATTCTGTAAGCTTTGGGTTGGTGTATTGAGAAGTTGTCACAGATAAAGGGCGTGGGACAGCAGCTGATTGTTGGTCAATGACTGCAGGCCAATCCTGTTGCGAAACTGGCTCAGTAGTCACGGATGGCGGAGGAGTATCCTGCTGATTATAACCGAAGGAGCCTCTTGTGTTTTGGTTGATTGCGTTCTCGTAGCCTGTTGGCTTGGGGGATAATGCAACTGAGCTTGGAGGAGTAATGACTCCAATATCTAGACCTTGCAAACTGTTTAGAATCACATCTGTATCACTGCCTTGTCGTTGATGAGCCTGGACATAGCCGTAGGTTTGGGCCTCTTGCTCTGGAATCGCGTATTTGCTTGACAAAGGCAAGGAGACTGGGGAAGCGAGCCCACTTGTCGTAATTGGTGACCGTGACGTAGAATAATCAGCAGTTCTCAAAGCACGTCCCGCAGAGTGAGATCTATCGCGTTGTTCGGAACCACCGATGAAGGGGGGTCTTTGCTGATGTGTACCAAGACTAGACCCAGATCTCGGAGCGTTGATCGAAGGCCGCATGGACATTTGAGAGCTCGATCTGGCCACATCGGGAGGACTGGTAAGCTGCGGAAGAGGTGGAAGAGGTGGAAATTTTGAGGGGGGCGGTGATGATTCCAGAGCCGACTTGGTTGTAAATCGTGTAATCTCTTCTACAAGAGTAATGGCCAATGCCTTTGTCGCAGCTTGAAGCTCGTCAAACTTGGCCTTGTCAAAGGTCTGTGGCTCAATAAAATCCTCAAAATCGTAGAGTAAGATGTCAATCGATCGAACTTGACAAATGACATCTTCTACTCGCCTGTCAGCGTCCGCTGTGACTTGGGTGCTTGGTCCTACTTGTCCTTACCGTGGCGCAAGGTCAGATGTCTTAGGAATTCAGTCAATTGAGGAGAAGACACCGCAAGTAAAGGTAACAAGCGTCGCAAAGCTCGCTCGCCTTCTCTCAATAGCGACTGGGACGATTGGTTGAGTGACATCTGCTGGTAGCCATAGTCCGAATGCCCACTGGCCTGTGAGAGCGCAAACTTGGCCCATTTTGCTACATCATTAAAAGGACGGAGTAACACGTGATCAGATGGAGTCGCCATTTTGGAAGCGATAAGAACAGGGGAAAAGCAGCGATAAAGCTGTTTCGCAGAGTATCGAGACAAAAGTCTGCAAAGGGCAGGATGAGACTTGCTGGGCATGTATATGCAATGAAATTGCGAACTCGTCCCAGTCTTATCTCGTCTATACGAAGTTAGTATCTAATGAACGAGCCCTCTGTTTCAAGGCTAGGATAGGGGGAGTAAATGCAAGTGGGACATATTTCAAGTTGAAGGATAATTGCAACAGACAGGGGTCTGATGGAGGGTGGGATAATTTCCAGATAAGCCTTTTCGGTTCAATGGCCCGGATTTGCACACTTGCTCGTAACCGAACCAACCGGAATGCTGCGCCACTACCTTAGAATGAAGCCCAAAATGAGCTTATTAGCTGTGTGTAGTCAGAGTTGAGAGTTTATAGCCAGTCGCCGAGCATATCTCAACTCCCAGGTAGAGCTGAGACTCGTTGAAACCGCTACTAAACTCAACCTCCTGGTGTTGTTATTAGCCAAATAAGGTACCCTTCACTTTTGCGTTATTATAGCCCGCGGATAGTTAACGCCAAGCCGACGTAACCTCCCTAAATAGTTCCCACCATCCGTGCGCTCGGCCGTTCCAAGACTTTAACTAATGCATGTTGCCTCTGCGCCAACCTCCCGCCCCCCAACACTGTTGCTACATAGGAAAGGTTCTAGAGGTTTCAAATGTGCCAGAGGGAGGGGGTCAGACATCCTTCCTGTTTGGCTTGATCCGCCGAAGGTCATCCGCCCCTTGTCTCTTTGCTATCTTTCTTCAGTTGCCTCTTATTTATAAATCACCACTGCTGACAGTACCTTTCAAGATTCCAGTCGCGCCCGTTCTGTTCACTTCTTCCTTTCCCCCCCTGACTTTTTGTTTTTCTTCTCCCATTGTATAACATCATTTCTGCTCAAGAGCTTCACCATCATGGGGTGGATTGGTCGAATCAACGATGGCGTGGCTAACAGTCGCGTAGGCCACTGGTTTCAATTGGAGGGATCTGGCCATGTGAGCGAACGCCACCAAAGAAGTATTGCAAGAGAATCGCACTGACCCAAGGCTTTAGCCCCGCGAGCGACCTGGTTCCCGGTTTACGACTGAGATCCGAGCAGGCATCATCTCTTTCTTCGCAATGGCATATATCTTGGCTGTCAATTCCAGCATTGTCGCTGACAGTGGAGGCACTTGTGTCTGTGACTCAACTCCCGATGACCCCATCTGTGCCGCCAACTCAGACTATCTCCTTTGCAAGAATGAGGTCAAGCGTGATCTAGTCACTGCCACTGCCGCTATCTCTGCCCTGGCCACCTTCTTCCTTGGTGCCCTCGCCAATATGTTAGTGTCGATAGGTAGTGGGGATGGCTTTGATGATTGGCTGCTAACTTTATGCACAGGCCCGTCGGTATCAGCTGCGGAATGGGCTTGAACGCTTACCTCGCGTACGATGTACGTATTCCTGCTTTGAAGTCCTGTGTAATTTCTAACGTCTGGTTCTACCTAGGTCGTCGGCTTCCATGGCTCTGGACCTGTCCCTTATGAGGTGGCCATGACGGCCATCTTCGTCGAGGGTCTTATCTTCTTCGGTCTCACAATCCTCGGTCTTCGACAATGGCTTGCTCGAGCCATCCCACGTTCAATCAAGCTAGCTACTGGTGCTGGTATCGGTCTCTTCTTGACACTTATCGGCCTTACATACAGTGAAGGCATAGGCCTCATTACTGGTGCTGTTTCAACTCCTGTCGAACTGGCTGGCTGTTCTCCTGCGGATAAATTGGAAGATGGCACCTGTCCTGGCTCGCACAAGATGCAGAACCCGACTCTTTGGCTCGCTATCTTCTGCGGTGGTATCCTGACGGTAGTTCTCACTATGTTCCGTGTCAAGGGTGCAATTCTCATAGGCATTATTCTTGTGTCTATTTGTTCTTGGCCACGCGGCACCTCGATCACAGCCTTCCCTTATACCCCGGTCGGCGATGACTCTTTCAACTTTTTCAAAAAGGTTGTGGACTTTCATCCTATTACCAGAATTCTTGCTGTGCAAAAGTGGGATATCAGTGCATATAGTGGCCAATTTGGTCGCGCCCTTATCACGTTCCTCTACGTTGATATTCTTGACTGCACAGGTACCCTCTACTCAATGGCCAGATTCTCTAATCTCATAGATGAGAAAACTCAGGATTTCGAAGGATCTGCTACAGCGTACCTTGTTGATTCCATCAGTATCACTATAGGGGCTGTCTTTGGTACATCACCTGTGACAGCCTTTATCGAGAGTGGAGCTGGTATTGGCGAAGGAGGGCGAACAGGAATCACAGCTATGATGACTGGCTTTTGCTTCTTTGTCTCGTTATTCTTTGCACCTATCTTTGCCTCTATACCTCCTTGGGCAACAGGCTGTGTCTTGATCCTAATTGGCTCCATGATGATGCAAGCCGTCGTCAATATCAATTGGCGATATATGGGTGACGCTGTCCCAGCATTCTTGACTATTGCTATTATGCCTTTTACGTTTTCTATTGCCGATGGCCTCATTGCCGGTATTTGCAGCTACATCGTTATCCAACTTCTTGTATGGGCTGTGGAGACAGCTTCTATGGGCAAGCTGACTGCTACCAACAAGAAGGACAAAGACCCTTGGACATGGCGTATTCCTGGAGGCATCCTACCAGGGTGGCTTGTGCGTTTGTTCCAGGGCAAGAAGGACTTTTGGCGCCCCTATGCGGACGAGGCCATCGATGGTAATGTAGGTGTCAATTCTCATGAGATGAGCCCTATTAGACACAATGCTGACTGGGTCAAGCCTGGTGAGCCTTTACCACACGTGGTAACTGAGATTTACTCTGGCAATAGTAAGCAATAAGCAGGGACATATTTCGTAACCCGACCTGCGGGGCCGAAAGCGGTTCATTGACTTGGGAAGGCGGTATTTGTTATACAGTTCTGTTGGAAAAAATGGGAGTCTTTTACTTAAGTAATACTGTCATCGATGACGTATCTCAGTTTATAGACTTAGAGCCAATGGCCAAGCCATTTGTAATCTTCGTAACCAGGGTTTCTTATCTCGCACTGAACTTCATGTCGCGGGTGCTTATGCAAACACCTTATCCTGGTGAATCAGTTATGGGCATAAAGTGTTCTACGTCGGAGGGTCCGACATCTCGTACCAATAAAATGAGGAATCAGCGACAAGTTGATGAAAATGGCGAGCTCAAACATCAGACCTTTCCGTCATCTACCATTTCAGGCCCGAACGGTAACGATCAGAATACGGAAGAACGCAAAGTTACGAAGAGCCGGATGGATGACATTCTGAGTAAGTATTCGTCGTGTCTCGGGTTGATCGCGCTGACACAGTTTCAGGGTTACTGTCTCGCGTGTGAGACTATTTACATAGTTGTTCCGCCCAAATCATCACGTTGTGGAACAGGCTTTTATCCGCAGATCCGCAAGCCGTCTCACTTCGGAGTCAGACAGTGCCTCTCTGGGATAGCTCAAATGCCCTTGGAGACATTTGCATCACACTTGCAGCGTTGCTTGTGTGGAAAGTTCCTGTGGCGTCCATACAATACATCGACCCATCACTAGCTATGTGCATTGCCCTGCTGAGCATGTATTTTACCTATCGACTCATGCTGGTGGCTTCCACCATCCTCCTCTAGGCTAAGCCTTCTACCATCGATACCAACATCATCAAACAGGCTGTCGAAAAGATAGACAGTGTCTTGTCCGCTCACCACGCCCATATTTTCGCACTGAACGAGAATAAACTGGTCTGCTCGATGCATGTCTAGGAGTTACCACGGCCTACTTCTCGAGAGAGGTTTATGGAAGTTATGCGGCAGATTAGACCTATTCTACATACGTATGGAGTCCATTCTGCAACGATCCAGCCTGAATTCTCTCTTGACGAGACTGACTCTATCGCATTCTTAAAAGCTGAACAGACAGAAGGAGAAAATTGGCAACGGCCATTGAGCCTGGGGAACAAGTCCAAGTCTTTCTAAGCTTGATGGCATTGAGAGATCAAGGGTTCTGGAATACAGTATCTGTCATAGTCGCATTTCCCATAACTATTTGTTATAATGCCCTTTTAAGTAACCTTGTTAGCTAAAGCTTAAGCAAGAGGATAGCCCGGCATATCATTGTAGCTTGAAACAATTCGGACGAATTCTTACCTCCAAATCACAATTGTTTGAGGGTTGTTACACAGTATGCGTGGATTGGACAATGTTGATAGAGGCTTGTGGGCGCAGAGCAGGCTCATCTGAAATAGGCTAAGTGGTTCCGATTTTCAAGCATTTGGCCAATAATATGTGCCCACGATATGTCGAATGTAGATCAGAGGCGCAATATTGGCTGCTTACTTACTGTTATTACTGGGCGAAATCGACTGATCACAGCTGGCTGAGGTGGGGCTGTGTCCAATTTCACATTCCCCTCCTCATGGACCTGTAGCTTACGTAGGCGCAATTCACTCTGTCCCTCATCGCGCTCCCCAATAGTCTCGCTTTACGACGCTAGGGCGCACATCTAATATGGACAACTGGCATACAGCACAATGCACAAAGCCCGACATTGCCATCTTTCCAGGACTTAATGTTCCAGCATGTATGAATTGCGGAGGAATTTGCCCTTCTGATAGAGCGGACAACAAACAAAACGATGAACTTCAGATTCCATCAGCGGGCAAGCGGTCTGCTATGCAGTTGAACTGGCCACCATCGATGTCGTATCAGAGTTACGCTTACCGCGATGATCCTGATGGCTCGTTGCACAAGGCTCTGGCTTCACAGGTTGACCAAGAATGGTGCGATAAGGAACCAGGCAAGCACACGCCTTGCTCTTCCATTATCAAGACAGCCCAGACTCCATCGTCGCAAGTAAGCAAAACCTCATATGAGCCCCTTGATAGTACAAAGATCCGTGTTTTGCGATTGTACAAAGGGCACTTTGGGGATTGCTTGCACGGAGAATTTGAAACCATTAGTCTTCAGAACCAAGACGCAGGGCCAGAAGAGCCAGAAATGATATCATCAGATGGAATGGAACATCCTACGCCATATGAAGCAGTTTCATATACCTGGGCCAAAGGAAATGGCAAACGGGAAAAAGACCACGCCATATTCATCGGAAGTCGTTGGGACATACTTCCAATCACTGAGAACTGCTTTGATGCCTTACAAAACTGTCGACTTGATGACCAAGATAGACGCCTATGGGTTGACGCAATCTGTATCAACCAGTCAAACATTTCTGAAAGGACTCACCAAGTCGGCATGATGAGATATATATACTCAACCGCCAGCCGCGTTCTGATATACCTGGGGATAGGTGACAGTGGAAGCGGCTCGGAAATCACGGATGATCCCGAGATTCTCAGTGGCAACCAATATTTCTCGCGTATATGGGTGGTACAAGAGATCGCGTCTGCGAAACAGGCGCTCGTTTTGTATGACCGTAAAGCCATGCACTGGGGCTTTTTCCATGGGAACCTGCAGCGCTTGTCTAGTAAGAGATGGATGCAGAACTTTGGTTCTCCCCGGCAGATCGATGATGCTCATGAGTTCTTGACCCTGCTCGGGGATACGCGGGACTGCAATGCTTCAGATCCAAGGGACAAGATCTTCGCCTTACTTGGGCTCTGGAAGAAGCAGGTGGACCCGGACTACACGCTCTCGCCTCAAGCTGTGTACACGGGACTGGCTTCCACCCTTGTAACGGATGAAAGGTGGGAAGTGGTAGCGCAATTACTTGATATGGCGACTCATGGCCGCTCGATGCTTGGCCTCCCATCATGGGTTCCTGACTGGAGCGAAAAGAGTCAACAGCCGTACCACCGACAGTGGAACAGTCGCTTTTCTTTGCCAGTGAGGTCTCTTTCAGATGGCGAATGGAGATTTCGAATCCATCGCCAAACTGGCTCTTTGTGTGTTCTGGCCGCCAAGATCGACATATTGGCCTCATACCTCTCCTGTGGGTTCAGAATGACCACCAATGGAATGATGATTGCAAAGGCTGGATGCGTTTGCGTTTCACTTGCACCTGAGGTCCTGAGCAAGTGCGAACCGAACGATTGTATCCTCGCCCTTTCTAGACATAAATTCTGTCTGATTCTTCGGAAAAAAGCAGATCCCAACATTTATACCTTCATTGGGCTTTGCGAATACTCGGACTTACTGAATGATCGGGGTCTGTTAATAGGAAGGCGCCATCAGCCAATGGAACTAGATGCCATAAGATATCTTCAGGACTGGGCGTGGCTTTTGTCCCTGGAGGAAAGACCTTTTTGGTCCGAGTTTGCGACTTGGGAGAAGACACAAATCTGTTGGTCGGCTATTCAAAAGCAGAGGAAAATAGAAACTCGAATGCTTCTCCAAAGGGTGATTAAAAAAGCCCTATTTCTGAAGAAGATGCGTGATCTGGCTAGGGAAGCGCAATGTGCCCTGAAAGATTGCAGCAAAAACGAAGACCGAGTGACGGAATTCTTTAAGCGTCAATGGACAAAAGGCTTCCGGAGATGGCAACAAGTAGACAAGCTATTAGTGATGGATCACGAAGAACACAGATCCGTGATCAGGAAATTGCTTCCAGGCTATAGAAGCCTAGAGCCATTGCAAGGAACGTCGACCCAATATCCACTGAGACAGTCGATGTGGCTTCCAGTATCTCCCTCTTGGTTTGGAAGAGTACCTCTCATTCATGAGCCAATCGACCTCTGTACGGAGTACCCATTGATCGCGGCCTGTGCGTCTATGAGTATTCCATTACCCCCTCTGCATTTAATCACAGATGTTAAGAGACATATCGCACTTTCGCTTGGCCAAGGACTTGAGAATGGTCTCCGACAGCTACAAAGACTGGCACTAGAACACTTCCCACAGGAATTGCTAGCTCACGAGAAGCTGGTCTCCTACAGTCTCAAGACCTCTTACAGTCTCGACTTTAAAGAGAAAGAGTGGGCTATTTTCCTGCATTGGCTGTCCAGGCCCATATCACCGAGCTATGATATGCTAAGACATGGGTTAAGAATGGATGCCCCATTGATTTGGGAAGTGGGACTTGTAGCACAAACCCAACTTGAAGAAGCTCACACATGGCTGGATGATAACTTTGATCATCATATAGAAACGCTATACTCCTCATCCAGTACCGAACCATCCCTCGATAAGTTTTTTAAACTTATATACCGAGAACAGTTCGAGCTCCTCTGGCTGTTTGTCTTTCGTTCATACTCAACCGATAGTAAAAGGTCTCATCGAGTTGCCCTCGATAATATCGGCGCTGGGTTCGCACGTGCCTTTTTCTGGAGGTTCGACCGCAGTATCAGTAAGGCTTGCCAAGCCGTTGGAGTAGGTCTCCCCACCCAGCAGGAGATTGAGAAACAATGGAACAGGTTCCTTGGTTGGCTCAGACAACAACCGTTTGAGGAGCCAGTATGGGATATACCATCAGAAGTGTATGATGAGCGGCCGCGCTGGCTGGTCGAAGAGGAAAGGAGCGGTGAATATGATAGGGACTACTTCTTGAAAAAGATCAAGTATGATGGGCTGTTTATGGTGCCAAAAACACCAGAGTCCCCTCAAGCATGGCCCAAGCATGTAAAGTCTCATGCACGTCTGCAGCCTCAGACATTTTGTGGCAAGCAAAGATTGTCTGAACTTGTTCATTCCGAAATTCAGCGACGAAGGCTTCCAGAGAGAGTGTTTGCTTTTCTATTCGACGACGCTGAGGCCACTCCTCAGCCAACGACATCTGAATGCACAGGCTTGGAAGAACTGCTTGCCCGCGATCAGCTATCCATTTGCGGCGGGCCTTTCACCCAACGTTGGAGACAGGAGACTGAGTCCTGGAAGGTCGTGGAGCAGTACATCTCGGAATCACAGTGGCATATGAGTCGCATGAAAATGGGTCTCTTATGCGGATCGGAAAAGGATGGGGTTATGTATAAGGAAATCGTTGTTGTTTGAGCACCTCTCCGGAATGTGAGATCTCATATCATTAAAGCTGGAGGCGCTAGAAGATGTTAAGATTCCGAGTCGCTGTTCCTGAGTCATTCGGGGAGACAGTCGTGAAATGGCATGACATACTCCGTCTGAAGCCTTGAATGAAACGTGGCTGGTACCTTAATTTCATCCCAACTGCCAGAAAAGTCAAACATAAGCATGATCTACCCAACATGCGATCTCCGTTCATGCCCATGACATCACCTTCACTCGTGCATCATTATAATTCCACAAATAAAGACCTCCCGCCCAGCAGCGGGGTTATTACCTTAACCTATCTAGCACTCGGGACAAGACGTTTTGCTGCTGTCAACCGGGGCCTGGCCTGATCTCCGTGGGTAAATTGTATTCTCATTTCCAATTGGCCAATACCCCAGAGTGACCTCGACTACAGCCGGCTCATGGCTAATGAACCTGGTTTGGCGGGGCACAATGCGACGCTACGATGATCATACCCCATCTCGTCGACGGAAATGTCCCACTTACATGAACCACGATAGTGCCTAAACTTAAATTTCTCGAATGTTGATCTCTGAATTTACCCGGTTCATGTGTATAAGATGCAAATTATTTAGCTCAGAGCTCTGAGGTGTTAGCTTCATTGGCTTGAAGGGTTCGTTAGCTATGAGGGTCTCGCAGGTGTACCTATCATTGCTGGGCCTGCTGCCGGCGGTAGCAGGTCTCGGTCAACAGTCCATTGTCGCCTTCAACAAGTCAGATGACGCTTTTCAACTCGTCGGTGGAGATGCAGGATCTGGCCAGATTCGTGTCTCCAAGGATGAGTACTGGGGCGTCATTCGCGCTGCTGGTGATCTCGCCGTCGACTTTGGCCGTGTTACTGGCACCAACTTCACTCTGAGCAACGGCAAGAAGAAATCGTCCCCAGCCAAGTATAAATTTAAGCCCGTTGATGTCAAGAACAACACACATGTGAGTACTTTCTAACCCCCAGAGACTTCAGCTAAGAATGTAGTACCGCACTCTTGATGAACAGCACTTCTCTGGACCAAGCTACTCAGAACCCAACGCTGGCAACACCAAGATCATTGTTGGTACAGTCGGCCACTCTGAGCTCATTGACAAGCTCATCAAATATGGCTCCCTTGATGTTAGCAAGATCAAAGGCAAATGGGAATCTTTCGTCAGCCAGCTTGTTAAAGATCCCATCAAGGGCACTGACCAAGCCCTGGTCATTGCTGGAAGTGACCCTCGAGGCACGATCTACGGTATTTACGACATCAGCGAGCAGATTGGTGTGAGTCCTTGGTACTGGTGGGCAGATGTGCCGATCCGCAAGCGAGATGAGATCTTTGTGCTCGCCAAGCCCAAGGTTCAGAAGTCGCCCTCAGTCAAGTACCGAGGTATCTTCCTCAACGACGAGCAGCCTGGACTTTCCAGCTGGGTCGGGTAAGTCATTTCAGTTCACCTACGAAAGTTTCCACTGACACGCACAGTTCACGCTGGGACCCAACCTGGAACAACAAGGCTCCCTACAACCACGAGTTCTACGCCCTCGTCTCGGAACTGCTACTCCGTCTTCGAGCCAACTACCTCTGGCCCACTGTCTGGGGCAGCATGGTCTACATCGATGACCCTCTTAACCAGCCACTTCTCGACGCTTACGAGGTTGTTCTCGGTGGATCTCACACTGAGCCCATGATGCGAGCACAGAACGAGTTCCGAACTTTCTACGAGGGTGAGTGGCAGTACAAGACCAACAACGAGACCATCGACGAGTATTTCCGCTATGGTGTTTCGCGAGCCAAGCCATATGCCCGAAATAGTCTTTGGACTATGGCCATGCGAGGAACGGGCGACACAGCTATTGAAGGCGATCTCGGTATCGACGGAATTGTTGAGATGCTCGAGACCCTTGTCGACAACCAGCGAGAGATTCTCAAGGAAGGTCTCAAGGTTAAGAACTTGACTGACGTTCCATCTCTGTGGTGTCTTTACAAGGAGGTTCAGTCTTACCAAGAGCGCGGCCTCGTCGTTCCCGAGGACATCACCCTCCTCTGGGCTGACGATAACTGGGGTAACATTCGCCGCCTCCCTCTTGCCAACGAGACAGACCGCTCTGGTGGTGCTGGTGTCTACTACCACTTCGACTACGTCGGTGATCCCAGAAACTACAAGTGGATCAACACCATCCAGCTCGAGAAGACCACCGAGCAGATGACTCTCGCCTACCACCGAAACGCGCGTCGCATTTGGATCGTCAACGTAGGTGATCTCAAACCGAAGGAGATCCCCATCAGCCACTTCATGGATCTTGCCTATGATACCGAAAAGTGGGAGAAGGAGGGCACAACCAAGTGGGTTGAGGCCTGGGTTGAGCGCGAGTTTGGCAGTGAACATGTCGAGGCCATCACGGACATCATGACGCGCTATGGGATGTACGCTGCTCGCCGCAAGTTTGAGTTGCTCGAGCCCCAAGTCTACTCCGTCATCAACTACCACGAAGCCGAGGCCATTCTTGAGCAGTGGGCTACTCTGAAGGAGGATACCCAGGCTGTTTACGACAAGCTCGACTCAGAGTACCAGCCCGCCTTCTTCGAGATGCTGCTTCACCCCGTTCTGGGTGGTGAGATCGTGAACAAGATCCAGATCTACGGCGCCAGGAACCAGTTGTACGCGGGACAGAAGCGTAACTCTGCCAATGATGTTATCTGGAAGTCTGTGGATTTGATGTACAAGGATTCGAACCTGACACAGCGATGGAATGAGTTGCTCGATGGCAAGTGGGCGCACATGCTCGATCGTAAGTTCCTCACCTTTTCTGATCTGAACTCCTCTGACCTATTTAGAAACTCACCTGGGCTACGATGGATACTGGCAACAACCCATGAGAAACACCCTTCCCGATCTCCGATTCGTCCAAGACGTCTGGCCATCACTCGGCGGCCAATACGGCGTTGGTGTAGAGGGTTCAAACGCCACTATCCAGGGCGACAGCCGCTGGCACTCCTTGTCCTCCAACAGCCTCGAACTGCCTCCCCTGGAACCCCACGGAGCCCAGTCCCGATACTTCGATGTCTTCCACCGCGGAAACAAGGGCTGCAACTGGCGCGCAGCACCCTGGGAGGACTTTATCCAGCTGTCGCAGTACAACGGTACAGTTGGTGGTGATAACGGTACTGATAGCCGTGTTTACATCACGGTTGATTGGGACAATGCTCCCCAGGCACCTAACACGACACAAGTCATGATCAACATCACTAGTGACTGCCGTGGGTTTGAGAAGTATGCCGGTGAAGAGCCGAAGCTCGTTGTGACGGTCATCAACCGAGAGGTTCCCGATAGCTTTGAGGAAGGATTCGTTGAGTCTGATGGACATGTTTCTATCGAGGCATCGCACTATCAGAAGATCTACGAGGGTGACTCTGATAACTCTTCTCTCGAGTATCACACCATCAAGAACTACGGTCGTACTCTCGCTGGTATGGGCTTGTACCCCCTCAACACCGAGAAACTCAAGGTCGGCGATGGTCCTGCTCTGGAGTACGACATGTACCTCTTCAGCAACAACTCAGCCGTCAACGTGACAGTCTTCATGTCCCCAGGCGCCAACTACCTAGGCGACCGCAACCCCCTCCAATACGGCATCACCCTCTTCCCAGCAGACAAGAAGCAGCCCGATCCAACGATCGTCACACCCATTGGTCCTAACAAGGGCACCAACATGCCTGATGGCTGGGGCTATGCTGTTGGCAACGCTGTTTGGGGCTTGTACGGAAACTACACCACTTCGGCTTTCAATGTTCCCAAGGAGGGTGCTTATAAGTTGAGAATCTGGGCTCTTCTGCCTAATATCCTGATTCAGAAGATTGTGGTTGATCTTGGTGGTGTAAGACAGTCTTATCTTGGCCCGCCTGAGAGTTTCTTGCTGGGAAGGGATGAGATGGGCAAGTATAACGGTACCTCGTTTGTGAGCACGCTAGGTATCGTTGGAGGAACTTTTGATAAAGAGTAATAAGATATACCCATTGGCTCGAGCCGTGGGGGGGGTAACTAAGCAAGCTTAGTTGGGCATAAAAAGGCGGGATAGTCATAAAACGGTAGGATACCTATTAGGCCTGATTTTTGGTGTATTTTGCGGCATTTTTAATATATCTTCATTCTAAAGGCATTAAAAGAGGTTAAATTACTAAATTAATTAAAATAAAGCTTCCTATAATAATATATCTGCTATTAATTATAATTATAGGAGGAAAATAACTATAGCAGTAGTAAGCTTGCCTACTAATTAATAATACTTTCTCTATTAAATTAGGTACTTTCTTATCCTTCTTAAGGCCTATAATTAGCTCTTATAGTAGATCTTTCTTTTTTAATAAGGGAAATAAGGGTATTATAAAATTAGGCTTAGTATTAAGCTAGGTATAATATTAAGGGCACTATTAGAAGGGGGGACTTATAATTAGGCAGGTAAGGCAGTAATAAGGGTATTATAACTTCCTCTTCTTTTAATAAATTAATAAGGCTATCTCCTTTATTAAAATTAGTATTAGCTAGTAATTATATAAGTTAAAAAATAATAAAGTTATTACTATTATAATAATTAGTTTCCAACTATAGATAAACTAAGCCATGCTAGGTTTATTATTAGCAGATTACATAGGGCATAATACTAAGCTTATCGAAGTATTATATCTCTTAATAGTAAATTTAATATATATTAGGCTTAATTAATATAAAGAAGTTTTATTAATAACTAATAAGCTAGAACTTATAAAAATACTAATAAATATATTCTATATACTAAAGGTAGTTTTACTAGAATAATATAATATAAGGTCACTATTAGTCCTAGAATAATATAATCCTGGAATACTATTAGTCTTATAAATATTAGTCCTTCCTTGGTTAATAGGTTAAGTAGAGAAAATTATAAGGTATATATAATATAACTGCTAAGATTATAATATAATCTCTCTCCTCTAGTAGTCTTACCTTTAAGGCCT